GTTCTCTCTCTCTCCCCCTCTCTCTCCCTCTCTCTCCCTACCATTATATTTCTGCGTGTCGTTCCTCGTGGTGTGTGCGTTCCCGAAGGCACCGCGATCGGACCCTTCTTAGACACTGCGCTCGTGCATCGGCGACGAGCGCGTCTCGGACAGCTAAGGACGCCGGGAAGCACAGGTGCAGGTGCGGGTGCGTGTGTTGCGCGTGTTGGTACAGTTGTACGCGACCCGGAGAGAGACGTGAGCTGGATCGGGAAACGGGCACGCGAGCGGGGAGTCGGCGAAGGTGTTGCCTGTAACAGTTGTGTCGTGGCAGAATGGACGGTAGCTCTGGCCCGCCGTCGGACGTGACGATGGCGATGGGGACCGAGAACGACGAGGGATCGAAGGTGCGACGGGACGGCAATGACTCCGGGAACCCGTCCGGCACAGCCACGGCGACTTATTCCACATCGCAACCGGAATATTGCGGCCAGGGCCTGATAAGGGCCGGATCCGCCTCACCTACACTCCCTACGACCTCCTCGCCTTCATCGTCATCGTTGTCCTCCTCCTCCTCTTCCTCTTCCTCCTCCACCTCCTCCGCCTCCTCCTGCTCCTCCTCCTCCTTGTCGTCGTCACCGCAGCAGCCGGGGTGTGGCTGCGCCGCCGCCACCGTCCTAGAGCCCGACGAAATTACCATCAGCATCACGCCGACCACCGGTGGCCAGTTCGATCTCACAGTGGACCGCACCGACACTATCGAGAACCTCAAGAAAATCATCTCAAAGAGACTGAAGGTCGCGAAAGAGCGAATTTGTTTACTACATCGTGAAAGGTTGGTATATACATATATATACACACATACACACTATACATGTGTGTGTATGTATATATATGTGTACACATGTATGTATGTATATGTGTATATATATACATATATATGTATACACGCACGTATCAGTGCCCTACGAGAGCATATACGTATTATCACACACGTTGGTTGCTTACGTTCGATCGTTCGAAGCGATTAGCCGCCGTCTCGACTCGTTATCGTCCCCGGTTCCTGGTTTTCCTTCTCCTTCGCCTGGAAACGCGATCATCGCCGAAATCTCGGCGGGTTCTCCGAATTCCGTTCCGTTTCGGCCCTTGTATCGTCGTCGTTTACCCTTCCTCGAAATCGATGACGCCTTCCTTCGATCCACGCGGATTCGTTCGGATTTTTCTCACGAACCGGTCATCGTGGGGGGGAATTAGGCGTAGACCTTGCTCCGCGACGCACTCACACCTATACAGAGAAAAGAGGGATCGGGTAGGTGAAACGTGTGCATGATTGTTGCCGCCGTGCGTCGCCGTGGACTGGTGTGTCTGCCCCGAGAGTCAGAAAGATGCAAGAGAAAGAATGAATGCACAGCATCGAGGGACAGACGCGCTCGCTTGGTTGCCCTCAGGAGGAAGAGGGAGGTAAAACGAACGATGGACAGAGACAGAGAGAGACAGAGAAAGAAAGAGAGATAGATAGAGAGGGAGCATAATATTCGTAGGCGTCGTGGGGGCCACCGCACGGACTGTGATCCTCCTCCTTCATGCGAGCACGCGAGAGAAACATGGTGGAGAGGAAGGTTGGCACGCCGTACTCTTGGGAGTAGGATGCGGTGGAGGTGGTGTAGTAGGTAGAATATCTCGGGAATCGCGTTCCCGTGAAGTGGAACGGTGACAGCCCTCGGTGAGAGGTAGAAGAAGAAACAGAAACAGTCGGATGGAAAAAACGACGACGACATCGAGACC